CATCTTCCATGTCATGGGGGTGGCGGTATGATGTTCACCCCCCTTGCCACGTCCTGGGGGTGGTGGTATGATGGCCACCCCCCTTGGTACCTCCTCGGGGTGGGTGGCTACCATACTCCTTGCCTTAGCCAAATTCGGCAATCACCCCCTCACCACGTCCTGGGGGGTGGTATGATGGTGGCCACCCCCTCTGCGTGTCATGGGGGTGGCTCCCATACTTAGCCAAATTTGGAGATGCATGGCGCGCGTGGTGGCATGGAGTAATGGGCCCAAAAACCCAATCTTCGTGCCCCACTCAACTGATTTAAACGGATATGATTAAATTAGCCTTATAAAGCCATTTAATTCCTTGTTTTTAACTGATGTGGTACAAGGTTAATTTTTATGGGTAAACAATATGAGAACTAGTTGTAGATCTAAAAAGATCATGGTTGCAAGTTGCATGAAACATGTCCATAAGAAAGAAGGAGATGAAAAAGGACTGTCTGCCGAAAGATCGGAGTTTGCCGACCGTCGAGGTCCCTCACGGAACATGGGTTTCGACAACCAAATATAGAAGGGAAAGTCTGGTGGGCAAAGGGATTATGGGACGCACTTTAGTGTTTTTAGCGACGAGTTGTCACAACGGTGTTTCCTTGGCTGGAAATAGATTTGATAATGATTAATTTGAATCAATTATAATTACTCATATTTGGGTCGGGTTGAAATAGACTTGATAATGTTTTTCTGTTCGATTTGGGTCAATTTATTTTGTTTAGATAATTGTATAAAAACAATATTAATCATTTTGGTAACTACATTCAACACAATTACAAACCTCTAATGTAAGGGTTTCCGTCTTTCTATTTACTTCATAACAAAAAAAAATAAGAATTTTTTTTTCATTATAATTGGTACCCATTTTCTTTTTTACTGCCAATACTATGTGTCAATTTATACTCGGAACTACAAAATTGGGTACGGAGATATGCCCAAAAGCAAAATTACACAAATTTGATCTGACCTATATGAAATTGAGTTTGGACAATACCAAAATATTGTTGGAAGAAGGATCAAGCTCGAGTTAGTTGGAGTCCAAATAAGAAGCAGCGGCGTCGTTCTAGTTAGTGTCAGTCTATGCTGCAATTTAGGGTCAGTAGTTGTAGCTTGATAGACAAGTTTAATTCTGTTAGAGTCAGTCAGAGTTGTTAGGGGTTAGTTGCTGAAAAACAGGAAAATGGGGTAGTGGGTTGTAGACAGGCTGAGTCAAGAGTCATATTGTATTTAAACTCTTCTTCGTTTATCAATAAAAGCTGTCAGTTTGCCCCAGATTTGCTTACATTGTGGTATCAGAGCATTGGCTTACTGTAACCAAGTTTGTGTGAAGAAAAGAGTGACTGATTGATTGAGTGTACAGTTGGGTTGGGAAACACGAGAGTACTGGTGAGGAAGTGCATCCTTGGTGAGTGAAACACGAGTGATTAGTGAGGTACTGAGTTGAGAAAAATCTGCAGAGATGAGTGAAAATGCAGGCTTTGCACAGGTGTGCATCCCTCGCTTTGATGAGGACTTCGATCATTGGAGTTTACTTATGGAGAATCTGCTAAGATCAAAAGAGTACTTGGGAGTAGTCTCCAAAGGGTTTCAAGAGCCTGCAGAAGGAGAAGTGCTGTCAGAAACGCAGACCAAAGCACTGGAGGAGTTGAGGCTAAAGGACCTCAAGGCTAAGAACTATTTATTTAGTTCGATTGACAAGACAATATTGAAGACCATTGCTAAAAAAACCACAGCCAAAGAGCTATGGGACTCAATGAAGATGAAATACCAGGGAAGTGAGAGAGTCAAGAGGGCTCAGTTGCAAACCTTGAGAAGGAGCTTTGAAGTGCTGGAAATGAAGGTTGGAGAGAGTGTCAATGACTACTTTGGAAGGGTCATGGTGGTTGCCAATGGTATGAGGAACTGTGGGGAAGAAGTAACTGATGTGAAAGTGGTGGAAAAGATTCTGAGGACCCTAACAGAGAGGTTCAACTATATAGTTTGTTCTATTGAGGAGAGAAAGGATATAGACACCCTCTCTGTGGATGCCCTGCAAAGTTCCCTCCTAGTACATGAGCAAAAGTTTTTGAAGAAGGCTGATGTTGAAGATCAAGCACTGAAAATCACACATGATTTTGGAGGTAGAGGTGGAAGAGGAAGAGGTAACTTTCGTGGCAGAGGAAGAGGAAGAGGTGGAAGAGGATGGAATCGAGAAACCATTGAGTGCTTTTATTGCCATAAGCTAGGGCACTTCAAGTATGAATGCCCTGAGCTGTATGGTCAACAGGCACACTTCACTCAAGCTGCAGTAGAACAAGAAAGAAGCTATCCAGACATGAAGGAAGAAATGTTGCTAATGGCATATCTGGAACCTGAGGAGAAGAAAGAGGAAGAACCTGAAACTCATATGGGCTTGACTGCTGCAAACCAGGATCAACCCTCAACTGAAGGATGGTGGTTCCTAGACTCAGGCTGCAGCAATCACATGACAGGTAACAGCCAGTGGTTCACTAAGCTTGATTCATCATTCACCTGTACTGTTAAGCTTGGAAATTGAACAAAGCTGGCTGTGAAAGGGAAAGGAACCATTCAACTTGAGGTAGAAAAGTTGTCTTTAATGATTCAAGAAGTATTCTATGTACCAGGTTTAAAGTCAAACCTGGTAAGCATAGGACAAATGCAGGACAAGGGACTGACTTTTCTTATTAAAGAAGGGGTGTGCAAACTATTTCATGAGGAAAAGGGTCTGCTGGTGCAGACTACTATGAAGTCTAATAGGCTGTTTGTCCTACACAGAAAGATACCTATAAGGGCTGGAACAGAGAACCAATGTCTCCAAATCTCAGACAGTGAAAACGAGGAACTAAACCTATGGCATAGAAGGTTTGGTCACCTCAACTTTCAAGGATTAATGGGACTGCAGAAAAAAGGGATGGTGAAAGGCTTACCTATACTGAAAGGCAAGCCAGAAGTCTGCTCAACTTGTCTGATTGGGAAGCAACATCGAGCTCCTTTCCCCAAGCAAAGTAAATGGCAGACTAACCAGGAAGCTGCAGATTGTACATGCTGATCTCCGTGGGCCTATAACACCAGTATCAAGCAGTGGGAAGAGGTATCTTTTTACTCTAATAGATGACTTCAGTCGAAAACTATGGGTCTATTTCCTTACTGCAAAATCAGAATCCTTTAGCATGTTCAAAGTGTTCAAAGCTCAAGTAGAAAAAGAGTCTGGCTTATCTGTTCAGTGTCTGAGAACAGATAGGGGAGGAGAGTTCATGTTGACTGAATTTAAACAATTCTGTGATGAGGCTGGCATTAGAAGGGAATTAACTGTAGCTCTCACTCCACAACAAAATGGAGTGGCAGAGAGAAAGAATAGAACTATTCTTAATATGGTTAGGTGTATGCTTGAAGACACCAAGGTTCCTGCTGTCTTTTGGCCTGAGGCTGTAGCCTGGACTCAACACATTCTGAATAGATGTCCAACTACAGCCAATCAAGGAAAAACTCCACAGGAGCTTTGGCATGGTGTTTCACCTTCAGTTGAACACTTCAAGATTTTTGGTTGCATAGCATATGTGCATATACCTGACCAACAGAGGAAAAAGTTGGATGATAAGAGTCATAAGTGTGTGTTTTTTGGGGTGTCATCTGAGTCTAAAGGGTACAGGTTGTATGATCAAACTACCAAGAAGATCATTGTAAGCAAGGATGTGGTTTTCAATGAACTGCAACCTGGATGGTTTTGGAACTCAGAAACTACACCTGTTGTGACCAAGATTATGTGGGAAGGGAGTGATGATGAGCTTTGGGAATCAGACACAGAAGAGGAACCAGACAACCTGGTTACTTCAGAAGCACTTGGCATTAACTCTCCTGAGATCAACAACCCAGCAGCAACATCTTCTACATCAGAGTTCTCTACAAGCTCAAATACCATAGATGAAGGTGAAGAAGAACCTGCTGATGTGCTAGGTCTCCCTCAAGGAGAGCTAACTCCCAGGATTTCTAAACTGCCCGCACGCTATAATGACTATGAAATGGGATGTGTAGAGGTGGATTGGGCTGTAATGATTGCAGCAACTGGAGATCCTCAAACATTTGCAGAAGCCATAAAGGAAGAAAAATGGAAGAAGGCAACCTTACAGGAGATGGAAGCAATAGAGAAGAATTGCACATGGGAGCTAGTTGATGCACCTCCAGATGTCATTCCAATCGGGCTGAAGTGGCTATTCAAAACCAAACTGAATGAGGCAGGAGAAGTGGATAAGTGCAGAGCTAGGCTTGTTGTGAAGGGCTATGCTCAACAATATGGCATAGACTATGACGAAGTGTTTGCACCTGTGGCCAGATGGGACACAATCAGGGCATTCTTGGCCTTAGCAGCTTTTCATGGCCTCACTGTACATAAGCTGGATGTAAAATCTGCCTTCCTACATGGTACCTTGACTGAGGATGTGTATGTGACACAACCTGAAGGCTATGTAATTGCAGGTCAAGAAACCAAAGTCTACAAACTCAAGAAGGCACTCTATGGATTAAAACAGGCTCCTCGAGCTTGGTATAGCAGGATAGAGCACTATTTTGAGCAGGCTGGGTTTCAGAAGTGTGCCTATGAACATACCTTGTTCATTAAAAGAGAAGGATCAAACTTGCTGCTGGTGAGTCTTTATGTAGATGATGTTATGTATGCCAGCAACTCTGAATCCATGCTAACTGCATTCAAGCACTCTATGCAAACTGAGTTTGACATGTCTGACTTGGGAAAGATGAGATATTTCTTGGGAGTTGAAGTTGTCCAGACTGAGGAAGGAATCTTTCTATGCCAGCAGAAGTATGCAAGGGAAATCCTAGAGAGATTTAAGCTATTGGAGTGCAACATGACTAAGAATCCAATGGCTCCTAGAACCAAGCTATCAATAGAAGGCGATGGAGTTCCAGCCAATGCAACACTGTATAAGCAGCTGATTGGCAGCCTGCTCTACATGACTGCCACAAGACCAGATATTGTGTTTTCAGTCTGCCTACTAAGCAGGTACATGGCTGCCCCAACCAGACTGCACATGCTTGCTGCCAAACGACTTCTGAGATATTTGAAGGGCACTCTAACTCATGGTATCTGGTACAAGAAGAAGGGAGGAGGAGGAAGCTTAGTAGGATACACGGATAGTGATTATGCAGGCGATTTAGATGACAGAAAGAGCACAAGTGGCTATGTGTTCTTCCTGTCAGGGGGAGCAGTCTCATGGTCTTCAAAGAAGCAACCTGTTGTAACACTATCTACTACTGAAGCTGAATTTGTGGCTGCAGCTGGTTGTGCAACTCAGTGTATATGGCTAAGAAGGGTTTTGGAGCAGATGGGTTGGAATACAAGTGTCCAGGAAGGAACCAAGATCTACTGCGACAACAATTCTGCTATCAAGTTGTCAAAAAATCATGTTCTACATGGGAGGAGCAAGCATATAGATGTAAGGTTTCACTACCTAAGAGAATTGGTCAAGGATGGAACTGTGGAACTGGTTCATTGTGGAACTACACACCAAATCGCAGACATTATGACTAAGGCTGTCAAGAATGAGACATTTGAGTTTCTTCGAGATCAACTTGGGGTGAGGAAGTTGGAGGAGGTTGCAACAATCAGGAAGGTTTAAAGCTGAAGTTTGAACTGAAGTCTTCACCGGCTTCAGTTCAGGGGAGGCTGTTGGAAGAAGGATCAAGCTCGAGTCAGTTGGAGTCCAAATAAGAAGCAGCGGCGTCGTTCTAGTTAGTGTCAGTCTATGCTGCAATTTAGGGTCAGTAGTAGTAGCTTGATAGACAAGTTTAATTCTGTTAGAGTCAGTCAGAGTTGTTAGGGGTTAGTTGCTGAAAAACAGGAAAATGGGGTAGTGGGTTGTAGACAGGCTGAGTCAAGAGTCATATTGTATTTAAACTCTTCTTCGTTTATCAATAAAAGCTGTCAGTTTGCCCAGATTTGCTTACAAATATTAGGTCGTCCTTTTTACCATCTCTAGCTCTGAAACACTGTCATTTCATGCCATCTCTGTCAGAATTCTGTGTTTGTTGTTCTTTTATTTGTTTTTCATTTTTTCATTGATTCATTAATATTAAGGTTGAACTCAGAGTATGGCGGATCGAAAACAAAAACTTTCTGATATATTATTTAATCTCATCTCATCACGATCGAGGTGCATATTACATAACAAAGTTTAACGTTTACCCAACAAAAGCAAAACTCCATCCATCGTTTATTTATGTCGAAGAGAGTCGTCCTTGTACGTACGTGGCATCAGCAATCCAGTCCTTAATTATTCTTGGGTGAGCATGCATGCAGAACACAGAAAGTCACTTCTTCTTGTTGTCGTCTTTGTTACAAATGCAGTAGCACGCAGGCTCTGGACACCAGCATCCGACCAAGCATGTGTAATACTCGTTCACTCCATCTCTCTTGCTCGAAGGCCTCTTACACTTGTGGGGGTAATACTGGCTGCACGTCTGGTCGTTGCACGTCGCGTTGCAGTTGTCCTGGACCCGAGCAGCAGAATTAGTTAGGAGAATGGTGTCGTTCCCCCATCGAGGAGGAGGAGGAGCAACCGTTCTGGATTCGCTCGAGATCAGCAAAATACCTGCATGCGTGCAACGCAGTCAAATTCGGGATTTTTATGTAGAAGCGTTTTGACTATGATGTTAGATTTATTCTAAACCCAGAAAGGGAACCAAGGCTGAAAAGGATGGGGGGAAAATAAAGTAGTATACGTACATGGAATAAGGACGATGTTCCACGTTATCAAGGGAAGCAAGGCGGCCAACTTAGCACCAGCAGCCATGGATGTTCTGCAGAGTGGAGTGGCTGTTCTTTCTTTCTGTTTGGAGTTTTGTTTGGAGTTGGTTTGTCAGTAATGGATTTCGAGCGGCTTATTAGCAATATATATATATATATATATATATATATATATATATGTGCGATCGACTAGGAAGAGAGTTTGATACTTGGATTTCTTCATTTATATAATTGGTGTTTTATTTTTTCTGTACGTAATTGGACAAAGAATTTTGTGTTTTGTTGTTTGTGCTTAATTAAATGTTCTGTTTTTCCTCCTAAACCTTAATTCTCTTTGTTTCATGGGTATTTTGCCGTCATTGAACAGAGAATAACCTATTTCGCTTCATGATCTGGATTTTGGACTACATGCACATTTATCGGCTTTTATTTATGCTTTGGAAGGCCGGCTTTAATATGCTTTACTGGGAAGAACCGTAGCGGCCGACCTTTTACAAAATATTGGACAGATCGTATCCTAGTTCTGGCCAGCCAAACCGGTCAAAATAGTCCCAAAAATGAACATGAATGAATAGAAATATGTAGCTTGTGAACGCTTAATGACGGCAAAATGCCCATGAAACAAAACCAATGTGAACTGTTTAACAAATAAGAGGAATTCCAGCTAAACTTTACTTTTAATTATTAAATCGAAGCATATTAAAATTTTAAAAGTGTAAAAGTTCAAAAATAAAATTTGTAAATTTCTCAAAAATCAAAACCAAAAACGGTTAGGTGCCTTATTAATTATGTGTTAATAAAAAATCGATAAGTTTCTTAATGGTTTTGATTTGGTTTCGATAAACAAAAAACCAAACTCGTAGTTTCGAAAGTCCAAAAATACAACAAGAAGTATATATATGAAGATAAGAAAGAAGTCTACTACACATAAGTTGGCCACAAGCCCACAACGTGTGATTTTGTAAAGGTTCTACTTAAGAAATTCTAATATAGACCTTTAGGTTTAAAACCAATGATATTGCCACTGAACCAAACTCTTATTCATCACAACGCGTGGTGCTGACAGGTATTGACTTAGTTAGAATATTATCAATTTTTTCTTGATTTCTCGATTTTAACCGAAACAAAAACCATTAAGATGTTAATCAATTTTAAAATCAAAAGCCAAAACCATTAAACTTCTTATTTGTTTGATTTCGGTTAAACCCATAAAACAAAAACCAAACAGAAAGCCCTACTCTTAACAGTATATATCATTCCCCACTTATATATCCTCTTTATCTTCATCCGTTTTGCCTTTAGGCTGGCCGTCTTGCTTCCGCTGAGAATAATCAAGTGCCGTCCTTCCATGCAAGCAGGTCTTCCGCTGAGAAGTCATCGGTTCGCGTTCGGAGAATGATGCTCCGATCGCCGTCGACGCTTCCTACGGCACAGATAGACTAATCTCAGGCATAAATTTATGAATGTGATCCAGAAGATTAGTTTGATATATATTTTTACCCAGTTTTATCCTCTACGTACCCTTTTGCTTTTATATTTTTTTTTATCAACAACCAACCCTAAATTAATAATGGATCCGTCACATGACTCACATTGCCTTCTGTCAATATCTAACCATTTCGATCTGGGATTAAAATTGGACATGAATTTATTAATTTCGATTCTTGTTTCGTTGGTTTGGGGTCGGATGGGATGATTGATTTGTTGTTGTTATTATCCTCTAAAAACCCTGGATTTCTATTTAACGCCCTAACTTTTTACAAATTTCGCCGATGGAAGCCTCCCGTTACTGCTAGTGGTGAGTGGTGACACCATTTTAAGGGTTTCTCTCAAAGAATGTTTTAAAATATATCTAATGGGTGAAGTGCAAGGTTGGGGAGTGAAAGTGTTGAAAGTTCACGTTTGGTCACTAAAAGAATTTTATTCTATTTGTGGTCACTGGAAATGGTTAAACGTTTCACGTTGGGTCACTCTCTCTTAGTCTCCGTCAGCCTCTATCAACACCGTCAATTTTTGGTTGATGTGGCTAACGGAAATGTTGATTCACCAAATTTTAACCCGCCACTTCATAAAAGCCGACCTGCCATGTCAGACCCAGTACATAAGCTTAGTTTGGTCCTACTGTAGCTTTTGCAGAAACATCTTCTGGCTGGAGCTTTTAGATAAATACTTAAAAAAAAAAAAGCAGTTCAGTGTTTCGCTGTAAACCTATTAGAAGTGCTTTTTAATATGAGAAGTTGGGTAAAATGACTAAAAAGGACTTATAATATAAAATATGAATAAAATTCTAAACAAGAAAAAATAGTCAAAATGGATCTTGTTAGATTTCTTTTATATTAAATAATATAATTTTATAATTTATTTTATTTTTAAAATGATATAAATGAATGAAAATTATATTTTTTGAAATAAAATTAAAATATGGTACGAATAATCTTGTATTTTCAAAACACATATTCACAGAAGCTCCAAATCAGAGCTTCTGCTGCTGTTATGTTATACATGGATGCAACCACAAACAACTTTTTTTTTTCAAAATGGATGCAACATATATATCTCAACTTTCATTCACGACAAGACGAGACTCGAAAAGGTCTTATCGGAAACAGAAACGGAATAAAAACCCAAAGAAAGAAAATGCCTTCAACTAGCAAGTCCGCGCACTTGTTAACTCATCATTCATTTCAGTTGAAGAGTACTCCAGTATTTATTTTGGAGTGCCAAAACATAGAAACCACCCAACCCTACTACATGGGAAAATTCGAAGAGGAAACATTAAGAAAATCACTTCGACGACGGCTCCTTCTGACAAAGGCAGTGGCACGAACCATCTTGACACCAGCAACCCACATAGCATGTGTAATACTCATATTGATCACCGTCACCTCCTCCGCCATCTTTCTCCGACGTCCTCCCAGGCTTAACTCCTTTACACAGCGTAGGGAAACTGTCGTTGCAGTTCTCGTCGTTGCACTTATCACTGCAGTAGTACTGGGCCGAAGCATCGCTGGAAAAAGTTGCAACAAACATGTGAATCAATGGAATCAGTCATTCGAGGGAAAAAAAACACTACAAAAGATATTAATAAGACCGCCCGCTTAGAGCTCTCTTTTTCCCGACCACTCTGAGCCGGTCACAAAAGATATGTTTCGGGTACCAGTTCTGACTTTGGTCGCAGAATGTCCTGCGGCGAGCTTATAACTTTTAGCGACGAGCACGTACCCCGTGGCAAAAAAGAGAAGAAAAAAATTGGATTGTTACGAGAGAGAGGTGTTTCTTTAGCTAAGTGATGATTTATATTGTATTCCTCTTGGGTCGGTAAATGACAGTTTTCTTGTAGTGAAAGGTAGAAACGGAGGTCACTGTGTGGAACAAGTTTCGACGAGATCATACCTGACATTGATGAAACCTGTACCGTTAGCAGGCATCAGAACGATATCGTTACCCCATCCAGGAGCTATCGTTCTCGATTCGCTTGAATGCCAAAGACCTACAATATTGCATTGACGGATCGATCAGCGCGATGACGAATACTATCTAGCAATATGCACTACAAGAAACTGCACTTTTTGCGACGAGTTCTACAGCGATGCTAGAAAATTCGTCGCAGAAAGTGTACAATTTACAACGAATTTTACTTTTTCGTTGCAAATGGTGTGAAATCTTTCTGCGACCGTAGCCCATCGTCGCAGAATATGAATTACGACTGCAAAAGATGGCCGGGAAACTACATGGAATAAGGACGATTGAAGCCAAAAAGAAGTAAGTCTGGAGAGGATGGGGAAATTATGTAACTTTATATACGTACATGGGATGAGGACGATGATGTTCCACATTATCAAGGGAAGCAAGACGGCCAACTTAGCACCAGCA